GAAGCGCGTTTCTTCCTATTTAAGACTCATCAATTGGAAGTATGCACCAAAAGACACTGATCAATTGCAGTCTGTAGCATCAACAGTGAGATTCAAACAACCAATACAAATGAATTAAAATTTCTAATTATTGAATCAAGAAGCAAACTAAATCAATAACACTATGTTACACCATGTTACATGTTAGTAATAGTCACATAAAAATATTAAGACAAGTATACCTTTCCAACTAACCTGTCAGAAAACATAATAAATCACAAATGTGTTTATTTTCCTTTAAATTTTGACTTTATTTTAATATTTATCAAGTTAATTTCTGCCTACTATACTAGCGTGAAATATGATAGTATAGGCAGAAACACAATTGTACTATACACCATACATTGTTTGTTTCTAACTGAACGAAATCATATAGTATGTATATAGATAATGGTAAAGTGTAGAACAAAATAAAACACATGAGGGTTAATCAACTACTGAAGTAGAGTATGAATAAAATAGCACAATGAAAAATATCTTTCTAGTCGATAAGATGATAAAATAATCAGTAATATAATGTCTTTAAAATACACACTAGTTGAATTGAGATACAAAGATTCACTTTTTGTGATAGATGTTTCAGTATCAGTGAACATGACCATTTAATCCACATGTCATACACACTCTACATCATACATAATTACTAAGAAATAATGATCACCAGTATGTTAATGTCTCATGTACTGATAGCAACTAAATAACAATTTCATAAATATATAATAAATTACCAATAATAAAAAAGAGAAGAAATAAAAAGGAAACACAGTTGACCCCAAGAAACTCTTAATGTACAATCATGTAAAATATCTTAAACAGAGATAGATGGTGGCTAGCAATGGAATCCAAAATGTGCATTTCTGCCTATTTGGGACTCGTCAGTTGGATCTTCGTGTATTCGGGACTCGAATATATCCCTGTTCATTTCAAATTCCACTTAGCTACTGAGTCCAGAGAGCCACTGGTTCGTGTCATACAGTGAATTTTAGTTCATCTGTAATAGTTGTTTGAATTTCCTTACTGATGTATAGGGACTGCAACTAACCAGTATGAAAAATTGATGAGAATCTATATCATTGGGTTTAACTATGTAGGTATACATATGCATCAAAAGATGCAGGTTGGATGAACTATCTCTTTTGAATAAGGATTTTAGACTTTAATTAGTATTTGACAGGTATAATAGTCGGAGGAAAACACTTTTTAAAACCAACACTGAGTATGGATGTTGGACCTCATTTTGATAATTTCACCTTTAATATTTTCAAACTGATTTGCACAATATGGTAGAAACTAGCCAATAGAGCTCGACTGATTGATCAAGATGAGCAGGTTGAATCACCAAGCACAATAAGGTGACAGTTACAGGTAAAAAAGAAATAAGCCAGACACAAGAAATAGCTAATAACTGTGTCAAAATTCATTTAATTTCAACACTAAATACATATGTATATATCAAGTAAAAAAGATGACTCATTAAATGAAATGTTAATAATATCACGTCAATTCTCTTCTTTTCATCTATTTTATAAATCACCTCGGAATTCCTTCTACTTTCATCTTTTTCTTATATCACCACCAGGAAAAAAAAGAAAAGAATGATGCAGAACAGAACTCTGGTGATAACTGTATAATAAAAAACAGGCTAAAAACTTTAATGAATAGGAACAGTCAGTGATCTTGGGTGCTGTTAGAGGTATGAGAGCGGTTATCACTTCCCGGTTGCTCACACCGTGGAAGGGTTCTTCTGGAGGTACATGAAAAGGAGATTGGATTAGAGGTGGTCTTAGTGACCTGAGAGCGTGACCGTAGTACCCAAGGGACAACTGCTTGAGGTCGGTCACACACTACCTTTTTATGGGTAATTTTCGTGTTAGCTCCGTACTTGTTGAGACCTTATCGCCGGAGACGGATATCCGTGGGATAAGGAGAGGTGTGCATTTTTAGGGTCAACCTTTTCTAACCCTACCCCTCCTTGTGGGAAGGCAGCATCGCTGTCATGCTGGTTGTCTGAAGGAAACACCTTACTGCTGTCACACCTCTGTACAGTCAGCAGTACGACTTCGCCTTCGGACCTTGGGTTTGTTGCTTTTAGTCTTACCGCTCTTCAACCGACCTGTCTGATATAGTAGGACCTTGAGGAACGGTTGTTCTAGCCAGTATAGCTCGGTTGCTTCATCACGATGGGCAAGCCTGACCACCACGTCAAGGTAGCAACAACGGTCAGGAATGAATAGGAACAGTGTGAGTACACTAACAAAAGTAAAAACACTAGACGAGAACATCCAAGTGTACATAGTATAGGAAGAGATTTGACAGTATTATTTACCAACATCATCATTTCATGTCTTTTTTTCAACATTCCGAAGATCAACATAAAAGGGATAAGAAATAAAAAAATGAATATGAATAAGGGAACGAATCTATGGTGAATAATCGCGCCAAATGCTACAACAATTACTATTTACTACTACTACTACTAGTAGTAGTAATAATAAGTAGTTTGATAAGTATATTTAAAAAGAAATGAATGCAAAGAAATCTTAGTGAGTTGAAATTAACATAATGACTATTTCTCTACTCTATTGTGTTTAAATATAAACATCGGTTGCATAAAAAATGATGTACAGTAGTATTAAAGTGCTACAAAGTAAACAAGTGGATATTTGTCGATTTTCAATATCATCTCATAGAAATAGAATTATCATTCACATTTAATTATGAATAAGAATGAAAATTTATGCTCAGTTTGTGTATTGCTAACGGATAGTTAGTCAAATAGCCATATGCTAAAGTTTACATCACGAACTGATCCTAGTCAGATAAATATTAAAAAAACAAGAAGTATTGGATAGTAGTTTAGTCAGTGTGAGATTCTTCAACAGTACTCATACGCGACTGCATTTGGGATCAAACTTAGAATGAAATAACTATCCAGTGTTTCCTGGATTACAATGGTTATATAACTAAGGTCAGTTAATGATGCAATTTACAGAGTTCAACAATCTTCTCTGTATGTTATAATTTCTCTTATTAAGACGCAGTTACTCTTATTGATTAGTAGTCTTGTACACTATTTCACTCGACAAGTCTCCAAATCAAAACAAAGTTAAACAGGAACGCATTTATATTCCAGATAAACAAGGAAAAGTTGGATGGAAGTAGTAATCATAATAAGAATAACTTTAGTGTATTTATGAATTTGCAAAAGATTCTATAATCTTCCACAAGCATCCGCTAACAGTAATTGGCTAGGAAATGACCAATCAGAGTGCTCCAACACATTAATCCCCGGAATTTGCTTTAATCCAATCTATATCCCGCTAACACTATGCGACACTAAAAAATACTAAGAGAGATTCATATTATGCAGGAAACTTTTCTGACATGATGAACGAGTTTTCAATTGTTAAAATGAATAAATAAGGCGCTGATAGATAAACAAGTTGAAGGGATACTATGTGGCCGAATAATAGTTGCTCACAGTACCGAATTAACTACCGAATGTAATGGTATCTTAAGACACGACTACTAAACGGGAGTACAGGTTTTTTATTCAATAAAATATGTCCATGTACAAAATGGTTTAATGCATAAATAGACATGACTGAGGGAGATCAGTTCTGTAGTTCACTCAGATTTCAACGACTTAACGTTTAGTCTTAGTTGCTATCCGATCATAACACATCCTATCACAAATTAATGTTAGATCATTCTGTGTTAATGAAGATAAAATGGTAATACTTTATGATTTGTTTTATATATTCTTCCGTTTCAAAGGAAATCACGTTGTTATTCCATCAGTCAACTAAGTACCATTGAAATATGTGGAATAACGATGATCAAACTTAGCAATAATTCATATAGTTAATAACCCAATATTTGAATCAGATTTTGAGTACAGTGACATTGTAACAAATAAAATTTGATGCCACATAAATCTATGTAAGATTAATGATTAATGGATAATGAAATATGAAGACAAATATTATCAGAACTATGTGGTGTATTAGAATAAAACTTTTAAAACTATTTGATCACATATATAATGGGTTAAGATTGATATATTAAAAATGAAAAGATGAACTAAACAAATGAAGAGTAAGAGAAAACAACGACACTCAAGAAAAATAATACGAAACTTATATCACTGGATAATAAAACAATATTATAAAGGTAGAGTAGGTTAAAGGTGAGAACAAATTGTTTTTGAACACATGAAGGGGATCTACGTTTTCATATGGTTAAGGCTTCAATAGAACTTAGTATATGCCCTTTAACACTTTTGTACAAAACCACAAATACCGAGTGGTGATCTATCTTATGACCTTTTTCAACTAAATATTTGACAATAAAAGATGATAGATGTTTATCATTTACTTTTATTAGATAATTCGATTTCAGTTGCTTTGGGAACCATGTATTGCGCTAATATTTAACATAGCTCTGATCATCTTATTATTATTATTAAACTATTCAGATTTATCAAAAGAACTTATTTTTTGGATAATTCTTCAAAAATATTTATCGATTCGAATGTAAATAAAGATTGAAAGGCAGTATTTATAATCGTTGAGATTATGAGTCAGTTGAAGCTACACCATCATGGAAAACCTGGAAGCACTGGACGTCCGTTTCGTCCTATTGTGCGCATCTACGATCCCACCTCGAGGGATTCGAACCCAGGACCTATAAGTCTCGCGCACGAGCGCTTAACCACTAGATCACTGAGCTAATATCCACAAAACCCCTTCTGAAAGGTATTTTATTGATATGTTTCAACTTTATATGGAATGAAACAGTAAATTTTTGTAAGAAGCAGTGATTTAGTGATTAAGGCGTTCAATTTTCAACCTTTAATTTGAACGGTTTTAGATTCCGCTCTGATTTACTTCCGTTTGAGCAATGTACATACTTGAACTGTGGCATAATGATAAACAAACTAAGTCAGTCAGTCAGTCAGCTACAACGTAGGACCAGGCACATATGTGCATCGGTCCAGGTTGCCATACCTCATTAGCACAACAAGATGAACACCGGATTCATAGGAGTGGTTAGGTCAAAGGTTGCAATAAGGATATAGTATAGGAAGGAAGAATTAGTTCGTAGAAAGAAAGATATGAAGTGATTTAATCTCTTAGTTTAAGGGAAGACAGGGAGTGTATGCACCGACGCCATTGTGATCGATTCTGAGCCATGTCACCAAGAGTCTCCAACCATTGGTTACGATAGTCACGCGGACCCCAACCAAGTAGTCTGCATCTACCAACATGGCTCAGACTAGAAGTTAGTGACTTCAAGCACTGATGCCACGTTTTGGTTTGGCCGCCCCTAACTTTCTTCCAACCATTTCCAATACCGGATAGCATTGCACGTCGTGGTAATCGGTGTTCAGGCATACGTAATACGTGGCCCAACCATGTCAGTCGATGAAGATTCATAACCTCATCAACTGATTTACCATCATTCCCTAATACCCTGCGTCTAACCTCACTATTACTTACCCGGTGATCCCAGCAGATGCCAGCAATATTTCTAAGGCATCTGTGGTCAAATACTTGTAGCTTACGGGTGTCTTCTACTCTTAAAGGCCATGTTTCGCTGCCGTAAAGTAAGACAGAACGGACTGCCGCGCAGTATACTCGTCCTTTTATTGATAGACGGATATATCGCCTCCACCAAAGGTGACGTAAGTTGGCAAAAGCCAAACGAGCTTTTCGAATCCGTGCTGAGATTTCGTCAGACACCAACCCATTAGGGCTGATCAGACTTCCAAGATAAGTGAAGTTGTCAACGCGTTCGACTACTTCACTCCCTATCCTTAGTTCAGGTGTTGACGCACACCAGTCCTGAAGCAACAACTTGCATTTAGAGGGAGAGAAGCGCATCCCAAACATCCTGGCATTGTTGCTCAGTGCTACCAGAAGACTCTGCATTTTGTCAGCGTCTTCACCAAACAGGACTATGTCATCTACGTATTCTAAGTCGATAAGTGGACCTCCTGGAAGGAGATCAATACCCGAGAATTCAGTCGACGAGAGTGTTATTTCCATCAATAGGTCTATGATGAAGTTAAACAAAAATGGAGAAAGTGGACAGCCTTGACGGACACCACTTGAAGTTGCAAAAGTAGATGACAGTTCGCCATAAGCTCTGACTCGACTAGTAGTGTTCGAGTAAAGAGCCTTTATAAGGTTTATGTACTTCTGAGGTACGCCTTTCAATGACAGACACTGCCACAGAGTCTCGCGGTCTACAGAGTCAAATGCTGCTTTTAAGTCAAGAAAGACCACCATCGTCGGACGCCGATAAGTATGCCTGTGTTCTAGAACCTGACGAATGGTGAATATGTGGTCGATGCAGCCACGACCAGGTCTAAAGCCAGCTTGGTTCTCTCGAGTTTGTAGTTCACGAGTCTTAGTTAGGCGTCTGATAATTATCGAGGCCAGTATTTTAGATACTATGTTTGTTAAACTAATCCCTCTGTGGTTGTCACAGGATGATTTTGACCCTTTCTTATATATTGGGACGATAAGTGATTGCGACCAGTCAGATGGGATAAAGTCTAATTCCCAGATCTTAGCTAAAATATTAGTCAACCTAATCGCTAAAATTGGACCACCATCCTTAAAGACCTCTGGAGCCAATCCATCTGGACCAGCTGCCCTTCCTCGTTTCAGATTAACTATAGCCTTTTGAACTTCAGCAAGAGTTGGGGGACCTACTTCAATGTTCCATTCACATTGTCTGGGAATGGAGGGTAGTTGGAGAGTAGCTGAAGGCCAGCTGAACTGTTCTCTAAAATGTTCCGCCCATCGTTCTAAGCGTCTGGACTGGGAGCAGATGAGATGAGAAAAAATAGATGATTTTTCATATATGATTGAAAGTTCCAAAGACTATAATACTTGATATATTAAGACGTGATATTAGAATAACTCCAATATATAAGCATTTCTATTCAAATAGAATATTAGGAACATTCACAAAATAAATTCAATCTGTGAAATTTCTAACTCTCCACAAAACCCATTCTGATAATAATCAACTGCTCACTAGTGACTGACTTCAGGAAAAACTCCTGAAGTTCTAGTGAGAAGTCGTTACCAGTGGAGTTCAACCAGGTTTGTTGTGAGATAACACTGAAGACAATGGTGTATGGTGGCGCGACTTCGTGGATTGGTTGAAGTTAGACATTAACACCGTTGGATGGCGGCTCAGTGGTCTAGTGGTTAAGTGCTCGCGCGCGAAGCCAGTAGGTTCTGGGTTCGAGCCCCGCGTGGTGCGGGATCGTGGATGCACACTGCTGAGGAGTCCCGCATTAGGACGAAACGGCCGTCCAGTGCTTCCAGGTTTTCAATGTTGGTCTAGCTTCAACTGACTCATGATTTCAATCCGTGAAATTACATAATAGTAACTTTTTTCAGGACAATAGTAATAATCCATCCAAATAATCAATTATTCCACTTTAACACTATATGCGTATATATATATATATATATATATATATATATATATATATATATATATATTAACCGGGTTGTTTAACGAATTAGATATACTGAATGATGTACTCCCTCTCTTTCATCCAACTAAACATATTTACATTGAATACAAAAGAAAATCACAATATTAGTTTTTCTCAATAAGTCCAATGTATTTCAGTTGGATGAAGAACACTGCCGATGATGTTGATGATGATGAGAATATTTATGAGATAGGAATGTATATATATATATATATATATATATATATATATATATATATATATATACAAAAATACCAATATCCTTAAGCAAAAAGAAAAACTTGAGTTAAACTAGTTGAAGGTAGCAATTTAATAAGCAAACAAAAAAAAGTACGGGAAAAAGTAGAATACCAACAACAAAAAAATGAGAAAAACTGGAAGAGATTTTAAAATTTTTTCCTGGGAAATGTGTTTACTTTTTAAAGTAAGAAAATTCATTATTTTTACCCAAGGTATTCATATCATTATTATTACAGTGAACATAACAGCATGTATTAACAATAGTATTACACTATAGAAGAGGTGAAAAAGAATTATATTGATCCAGTAGTCAGGGACCATGATATTTATGCAAGTAAGTTTTTTTAAACAAGAAAATAGTAGTAAGTAAGTTGAGGAATAGACATCTTTTCCTACATGGTTACTTAATCATTTGATATAAAATCATTGAGTTGACTTGGGTTCGAACCTTGCTGTAACACATCTACAAAGGATACATGTGATAAGAAAGGTTATTCACTAATTTTTTTTAGATTATTAAATGGTAAATTTGGTAAAAACATGTGTGCGGGATCGTGGATGAGCACTACTGAAGAGTTCCTAACTAGAACGGAACGGCTATTCAGTGCTTCCAGGTTCCTAACGGTGGCCTAGCTAAATCGATTCGTAATTTCAACCGCGAAAATAAAACTAAATAGTTAACATTTTGTAAATGTTTATATCATTTTGTTGCTAGTGTTGAAGATTGTAATTTATATAGTATTTTAACAACAATCTCCACAAATTTCTATACTGATATGTTATCTATGCCTAATCGTTCCTACTACTATAGATACTGTTACTATTTACACTTTTCTAACAATTATCATGATAATTTGATCTCCCTATGTTCATATAGTGCATTAACTAGAACCGGTTCATATATGTGCCGGGTTCGACTTTGTTTATAGAGAACAAATTATTCAAACGAGAAACTATATAATAAATATAAGATGTTAAAGTACACAGGAGAAATTATAAATAAGGAACTAAATATCATTCAAGTCAAGTTTAGATCTTCATTGATTCCGAGAAGTAACCAGTATCATAGCTGTCCAAGTCTTTGGTGCAAGATAAATTCTATCGATCAAGTTGCAATGTACCCACTAGTCTAAGTGACTTCACTTTTGTTCACTATGTTGAGATGTAAGGTGGTGGTTGGAGAGTTTCCTGTAGACTATCTCCAAATACCATCTCACATCTTACGTTAAGTTTTACGTTAGCAATAACTAAGTGATTGATATGTTACTACTTAATAAGAATGTTTAACATATGAATCAGTGATGAATAACATTCCAGTTGTTAGACTAAACTGATATTACAAGACGACGAATAAATATATACATACAAATGAGAAAAAATAAACATTAGTTGAATCAACGGTAATCTGTTACAATTATCTGTCTTAAATGTACTTTATTTGTACCTACATTTGTAAATATATAAAATTAAAGTTACGTAACAAGAAGTGTCTACGAATATATTTGTAAATCTGAAGTTGGAAAGATGAACTACTACTAGATTTCAGTTCAAAGTTATGGAGATTTCAAACTGTACTATATGTTTGATCCCTAATTCAGATGAAACAGACCTCCAATGTGCTTTCTAATTTTCATTGGTTATTCACGTAACATATTTTTTGGCGAGACTATAATTTATAGACGAACCAACCAGGTATACGATAATAGGTCTCGAATGTTGACGTAAAATTCATTCATCGATTTGGCTAAAAAATGTTTTGGCATCAAAGATGATTTCAGCTTGTGATGAAAACCCCAAATCTAATTCCTAACCTGAATCATCAACTGTAAAACATAATTCAAATTCCTCACACAGGTTTATAACTCACATTTGGTCCTAGATATTATGTGGACACTCTCAAAGTCAGTCTAGCGTTGCTCAAGGGTAGTTCATAAATTATAGTCTCACCTACTTTTTTTTTAATTATTATGTTCTGTCGTGTTCAAGTAGACCAACAGAAGTTGGAATTAGAAAGGACAAGTAATAAAATACGATATAACATGATTTTAGTTAAAATCTCCCCTATCAACTTAACAATATGTTGTCCATTTTTCTATGCTACTTAGGGCAAAATTAATAAATACACAATGTAGTTTTTGGAAAAAAAGGAAGGTTAAATGATAGTTAGAAATTCATTAAGAAAAGAGTAGGGTAAACACTAATAACATCCTCTATACATATAAATAAGCAAGTTTATCATCATTGGCAACAAAAACACACCATTACATTTTACTAAGAAACTTTCGTGCGTTTTTTTTCCTAGAATGTACTTTATAAACAATGAGTTTCATAGTTTTAATAACATCATAATATATGTTATTGCATAGAGAAATATACAAGTGACCACCCAGAATTCCTATTGACTTTTATATCCGTCTATTTCTTAATTCATAAAAGAAAAAAGAAAAAAAAGAAATTGGGTAAAATTCTATGTCAAAGTGAAAACTATGTTCACTTTCTTGTTTTAGTTTCGACAAAAGTTTGTGTAATTTCACATTTCTTCAGATTACAATGATTGTCTATATATATGTGTGTGTGTGCACCTGTACAAATGACGACTGATCGATCGGTAAGTTGGTGAATTATAAGGAGGGGAAAAAATGATATACACATAAACCGAGTACATAATATCAAGAAATAACTGCCTGATAACACAGAAATAACTGGAATTTATTCAGATTATCCAATTAATAAATGGTTCATTAACAGTAGAAGAAAAAGGAGCAAGGATACATATTCGATCCTATTCCATACTAATAATAATCTGATGTTGACACTT